AATTCAGCGTACTTTTCGCTCATTAAAACTAAAAGTTCAATCAGAACTTTGTTTTTACTAAGAAAAAAAAAGAAAAGGAAAAGAAAAGGAAAACGGACGAAAACGAAAATTGAATAATTTGAATTCTAAAAAAGTACATCCATTAAACCATTAATTATCCACAAATGTTGTAATCTAATAATATGATAATTAAATACATCAAATTGAGAATTTAATGAATTTTTATATGGAATAAATTCACAAAAAAAGAAAAAAAGGAAATAAAAAATGGGATAATTTTTGATTACTGGTTATAAATCATGATAGTATCCGTTATCTTTGATAGGTTGATTGATTAGTCGTATCAGATTACAATACAATACCATTTATATTGGATGTCCGAATAATTCTATAGTTGTAACATAGATAAATTTCATTTAAAAGGTAATTTTTTTTGAATTCAATAAATTTTCATGTAGAATAAATTCATAATTAAGATATGTTATAGCAACGTCGAATGATCCAACTTCTGTTAGCTGTTGTGCTAATAACTGTAAGTTGTTGTTGTAAATAATTTACTTACTACTCTCATTAATATCTTCCTCTCTCCATTTCTTGGCTTCTTTTTCGTTCATGAACCTTATTAATAATAAATTCAAATTTATCTTCCCGCCTTCCTCAGCCCAATTTCTCCAAAATCCATTGCTCTCTTTATTTTCCAAAACAAAAAAAAAAAAGGAAAAAAAAAAGTGACATTCCTTGATATGCTTTGATTCAAAATAGAATAGAATGGAACAGAATAAAAGTTAATAAATTTGGATGAAATAGTTAGAGAGATAAGTGAAAAAAAAGGGATGGGATATAATGGAATTGAATTGAATATATATTGGAATAGAATTTGAGCATGTTTTGTTATATTTCATCATTTAGTAATTAATAACAATTATTAATATTTTCTCTTGGGAAAAAAAATCATATAGGAAATTATGAAGATCAGTTTTTGTGTCAAAATATTTAAAGGGATTAAATTTAAATCATAAATTGTTAATTTAAGCAAGTATTAAATTATTTCATTGATAGGTCTGTAAAGCACAATATGGTGAAGTAGCACCACCATCTTTGGCACAACCAATAAATTATGCATCGAATATTCCCGAAGAAATCCCTTATACAAGTGAACCTTCGTATTCCGGAAATGAGTATGAAAATGTTACAAAAGAAATTGTTCAATCAGAAAGTAATCCACCATCCACACAATTACTTCATCCGGCCGAAAATATAACTTGTGGATCACCGATAGATGATTATGCATCATCTAGTTCAATTCCAACAATAACACAATCAACTGTCAACCAAATCAACCAAACAAGTAGACAACCGCTTATTTCGTCATCAACAAAATCATCTCCAAGAATATCCAAAGTTTCATCATTTAGACCACGTACGACAACTTCATCATTAAAACCTCAATCACTTTCAACTAGATCATCAACAAGACCTACTCGACATACAACACGCATTACCACAAAACATTCTCGGATTACTTCAACTTCAAAAAAACCTACCCAAACAATCAGCAGAATAACTCAAAGTCGAACGGTAGCTTAAATTTGATTTCTTGTTTGAAATTATTTTTATCGATCGCATAGAAAATAATAGTAAGCAAATATCATTTTGGTATCACTTGATCACTTGATTGATCACTTGGTATCACTTGATTTGTGGATTTTCTGAAATAGTTAACCAAATTAATTAATGTATCTTAAATCTTGCAAATAATGCCAACAATGTGGAAAGATAAATGAATAATCCTTAATATGATGTTAATTAAAAATAGCACATATCATTGAATTCATTAAATTCGGTGCTTTATAGAGTGAAACATCACGATCAACTCGTTTATCGTCTACAATACCAACACAGCCGGGTAGTACAAGAAAACCGGAAAGTCGACCGATCACATTGCCAAGTAGACGATCAGGTTATATCAGTTTATTTTTTTAACTAATCTGTTTATTCATTAAATTATTACTTATAGATTAATTAGGAAGTTACGGATAAGTAAGGTTGATATATGTTGGCATAAATAAATTTTAAATTATAATAATTAAAACTAATACCTATTACTGATACCTGATTTATCATCTTTCAATTTTTTAACTAATAAAAAAATTTCCAATTTATAAAATCAATATGACAATTGAAATAATATAATTAATGTCATTTCTTTTTTTTAAAATATCAGATTGCTCAGCATCTGATACACTTTTCGTGGTAGATTCAACCAGCTCAGTAAAGCGATTCTTTGAGGATCATCGTGAATACATTATTGAAACTATTAATTTAATTCTTCCCGAAATTGACAATGAAACAAGGATTGGAAGTATTTATATTATTTTCATTCAATTTTTTTTTCTTTTTATTGCTTATTAATAACTTCTCTTTTTTGACAACTAGAAATTATTGAATATTAAAAAAGCTTTTTCTATTTACATAATTCCTTTTTTCTTTTTTTTAATTAAAGAATGTCACTTTTTTAATTTAAAGTAAAAATGAATTTTGAAATAATCCCACAAATTTTTAAATTTAAAAAAGAAATGATGAAATCAAACAAATGCATTTTAATTTTCACTTCCTATAATTTCAATGCATAATATACAAGAAATGATTATCATGGCTTTTGTTTTGCAGTAGTCGAATATAGCAGTCCTTTACGACGACAAGTTAAACTACCATTTATAGTGCATAAAAAATCGAACCGAAATTGTTGAAACTATTAAAAGTAAATTTTTATATTTTAAACTATGAGCTTTCAAATTCAAATTTAATCAATTAATGGGCATGAGACTTTCATAAATTTAATTTTAATATTTCGACAAAAATTTGCAGATATTTTACATTTCAGTTCTTATAAATAAATGTAAATTTTTATTATGCTTCAAGCACTTCCAATAATTTTGAAAGGAAAATTTTTGATTTTCAATAATTTACAGAAAAAAAAATGAATTTTTTATCAAATTAAACAACAATTTTAATTGATATTTTTTTCATTCAAGAATTACCATTCTTTGCCGGTATAACTGCTACGGGAGCAGCATTAAAATTAGCATTGGAGTTGTTGCAAGATCGTCGTTCCAATGTGCTTACTAATGTTGTCGTCGTTACCGATGGTTTCAGGTGTGGTAAAATTTTATTAGAATTAACAAAAAAAAAAGAGAAAGGAAAAATAAAATTAATCATAATTAGTGAATTTTACATCGTCCGTTTATTGATAAATGTAGTAAAAACCATAAAAAGAGCTTGTATGAAAAGAAAAAAAAATGGCTAAATTAGGTTTTTCCCAAAGTTTTTTTTTTTATAATCTCTCCAAAAAAAAAAGAAGCCAAAAACTTTTAATTTCAAGCCAAAAAAAACACTTAATTTAACTCATTAGAAGAAAAAGGGAAAAGTAAAATGATTCAATTAAATATAAGGAAAAATGATCAAAACTTCGTTAACTTGAACTATTCACTTCTAAAATGCTACGCTTAAATTTATCAATAACTTTCAAAACTTCTGCAAAAAAAAGAAAAAGAAAGTGAAAATATGAATACTATTTGTACAAAATACATTGAATAAAAAAAAAAAGGTTCAGATCAAAAAGTAACAAGCAGTAATATCATCACTATCACTATTATCATCATCCTTATCATCACTACTACTATTATCACTCTTATCACCATTATCACCTACAGCATTAATGCATATCATTGCAAAAGCATATCATCATCATATAGCATCGTACATATGCAACATTATTTCACTAGAAATTTGTTCCAAATAATTGTTCACGATAAAATGTCGATTGTAGAAAGGACCACCCACGATGTTTTTCATTTATCATATTCTCATATAATGGCATTTATTTGTGTTGCTGCTCAAGACCACCCAAATAGTTCTTAGAATGATCTATAGGTGAAAATGATGAGTTGATTGGCATTGAGATTTGATTGTACATTCATTCTTCTATCATATATTTTATTGGTTTTAGTTATGATTTGGTTGATGAGCCATCATCAATGCTTCATCGATTACCCAATGTTCGAACATTTACTGCAACAGTTACCGATTCATGGAGGGAGTAAGTATGCTGCAAAAAAAAAAAATTTCTTTTTTCCATTCTTTTTCCTGCTCAGAAAATTTCCCGCGATATCGGGATGAAAATTTTTTGATAATAAATTTGATTGAAAGATTTTTTTGTGCAGTGATTTTTATTATTATTATTAAAAAAATATTATAATAAAAAAAAAAAAAATGAATGAAACAAAAATGGATAATATCTTAGGAGAAATTTATAATTTCATTTATCGGGGAGCAAGAGATACGGGTTGAAAAAGATAGAAGAGAGTTCCCTCTATTCGAGAAAAGAGGTCGAGAAAATGAGAAAAGAATTATTCTCATCCTAATTCTTTCAAATTACACAAGAAAAAAAAAAAATCTTGATATATTATTTTAGGTATGAATTGGAAACAATTGCTGGTGAGCGTAAAAGAGTATTCAAGGGGAAAAATTCGGCGCGTGATTTAGCTAAAGCGTTAACATCTTGTGATAATGGATCACGTTTACGTGGTTTACGACAAAGTAATTAATTAAAGTGATGAAGAAGTAATTAATTGAAATGATGGAAATTTTCACCGTTTTAAGATATCATTTTGCATCACGGAATAGGTGTAATATGTTTATAATGAAATTGAAAATATTTATGACAAATAATATTCATATTTTAGGATTGCAATTTTCATTTACACTCATGATATATATATATTTTCAGATTAGCTAATTGTTAAATTTTGGATGAGCTTTGTAATGTCTATTATTTAATTCTGTGATAATCGTTCAGCTAATCTAAATATTATTTTTGCATTCCGGATTATTATTTTGTTCTTAACAAATTAAGCACATTTTTAATATTATTACTATTTTCCGGTTTATTTAAAAATTTCAAAATGCCTTTATTATCTTTGTCACATCTCAATATCATTTAAATACAATTTTCATTTAATCTATCATTTTTAGCTTTGTTATTATTCTAAATGTTACCATAAAATATCGTAATTGATCAACAAAAAAAAAAAAGGAAAAAATATTTGATTTGTTTAATTACATATCATAATATATGTATGTATGGTTATCATTTCACAAAATTTCAATAATACATTTAAAACAAAATTAATTAATGGAAGAAAATTTTCATACTTTTGCAATTTTACTTTTTAGCATACTTAAATTGATATGTAACATTTCAGGATAACTTTTCGAATTATAGGAAAAATGATGCAGACAAATACGCTTAAACAATTTCAAATTTTGTAAAAATTTTAGAGGAAAGGAAAAAAAAAGAAGAAAGGATAGTCAAGGAAAAAGAGAAAGAAATTCAAAAGGAAAACAAATTTCTAACAAAAATACATATATACTTATGAAAATTGAAAACTATAATAAATTAATCAAATGGAAGTAATAATTGTAGATTTTTTTCGAAATTTTGCAGCTTTTTTTTTTAGTGTAAGGAAATATTGTATAGATATAATTTATGAATATTGTCGAGTAAAACTAAATTTAAATTTTACACTTCTTCCAAAGTCTCAAACTACATTTGGGACATATTACATTTTGTTTATCTTTTAATGCTATATTTCGTAGGTAGTAGTGACAAGGTTAAGAAGTTGATTCTCAGATAGCTTTCTTTTTTTTTTTTTTCTAATTCAATAAAGTAATTATTGAAAAATTATAGGTGAAATTTATTTCAAATTGAAGCATATCTAGTGTAATATTTTAGGCAATGAACAAAAAAATCTTACGAAAATCGGTGAGACCTTTGACCTTTTAATCCATTATAATTTTGAAGCATGAAATCGAGAAACAAAGTAGCAACTTCAAAGTAGCAATTTGACTTGAAACTAAAAACTAAAAGCGAAAAAATTACACTACAAGGGAATGAATGTACCGGGAGCTGTTTGAGGATTCCATTTTTGTAATTTCACATTTCAAAACTCAGATTCTCAAATAAAATGCATATGTTACAAGTGACATTTGACCAATGCTTTCATCATTTCATTGATTTACTTTGATCAATTTCATTTACCAATTATGAAAATTGCAAAAAAATTTTGTAAACAAAAGAAATCTTTTTTTTTTAAAAAAAATTTCTATTCCCTAGTCATTGCAGATAATTATAAATCCATCGTATTCCCTTTGAGTGATTCATATGACCATTTCATTTAAAAGTTAGTTAATATCCAGAAACAGAAAGAATGTCCACAAAGCTTGCCATAAATCTCTGATAGAACTTGAAATTTAACTGCATTTTACAGCAGTGACATTTGCGCATCATTACTTCTCATCTATTTTGATCATAATATGAGCTCAACAAAAATTACAACCCTCAAATAACATTTTTCACATTTTGCTATAGTTTCCTGAATCCAGCAAATCCTGTTGAGCTGTTGACTTGATCTTGATTTGTCACCATACAGCACTTCATTGAACGGTAAAGCTCAATGATGATACAATACTGACAAAACAATTCTTCACATTCATCGAACCTTTTCATCCCAGTCTTTCATCCTTAATTACTTTAGAAGAGTAAAACTTTAAAGTTATCGCATGAACGTTTTACTATCCTTCATTGTGATGACAACTGTGCAAGACAAATGATATAAATCAACAATAATCGCCCTCAACTATTAATAGCTCAAAATTCATTGATGCTCTCTGTTAAAGAGTAAAATGAACAAAAAGGAAAATATCACTCTATATGATAAAAGCATAATTTTATAATTTCATTTAGTCTTCCCCTAACACCCATTATGTCCGAAATGTAAATCGAAGTTTTTCAAGCTGTAATACTGGATGTAGCATCATGTAAAGAAAAAGAAAAACTTAATGGAGATCATTGAAATAAGCATTAAAAAGAAATATTTAGACGAAAAATAAAAGGCAGTAATTGTCATAAAGGATAAAAATAAATTGAATTGAATGATAAAAATTCGGAGTAAACATAGAAAAAAGATCGTTGAATAAAATAATTCATCAATAATCAGAAATCAAAATAATTACACAATGGACCATTGAGTAACTTGAATGAGCATTTGATAGCAGGAAATATGAAAAATGAAAATTAATTTTCATTCACTTCTTTTTGGCTTAAGATAAAAATAACCAATACGGAATCGATACTATGATAATAATACGCAAATGACAAAAATGTATGCGACATTTTCACTTCAACTAGGATAGCATCTTGGGAATTTCACTTCAGATAATTTTTTGGGACTTTTTGTTTTGCGTTCACTTGCTCCTGGTTTATATCCTTCTGCAAATTTGGATTTGAAATGGAGTGAAGTGAAAAGCTTTTTTATTTTAAATTTTTGATAAGGTATTCGGTAATATGATTGTGGAAGAGAGGAAAAAAAAACTTGATTATTTTGATTTCATTGGAAAGATGAAGAAATGAAGATTTATTTTTGAACATAACTTAAATGTATTTCGAATAGACTAGAAATCGAATAAATGCCACTGATTGATGAATATTGTAACAGCTTAGGAAGGTAATATTTGAAAGCTAATAAGAGTGCAAAATAGCATCAAACTTCTAAAACTATCGAAGATAAATAATGATTTTCTCAAGGCATTTAAAGTTCTTTCATTTTATACCTGTCGGAATTTCTTTTCCCGCTCCATGATGAGCAGTTCTGCGTTGACCTCTGTTTTCATCCTCCTAAAATTTATACAAATCTTACATGCTAAGGAAATGAATAATACCATCCAATAAAATCCATTAATAGAATTGCATTAATTGAAAAGATATTAATAATGCAATCTAGAATAAAACTAGAGAAACTAGAGAAACATAGATGGACATATCCGGTTATTGAGGATTTCTAAAGATAGCTATTTTTGAAATTTCTTTGTAGAAACCAAGAGATTACTATCATTATTACCTTCTTGTAACCTGTCGAACCCCAATATCGTCCTGCAGGTGGCCATTCCATCATATCACTGTAATCGCCTACTTTACGAGATGTGTCATGTCGTTTGTCAGATGTTTCACGTATGTAAGCCATTGGTCGTATAGATTCGTTACGTATTTCTTCTTCAAGTCTTGCATATTGCATTTCCATATTGCGTAATCTGTTTTCAAGCTTCTGAAATAAATTTTATATTAGGAAAAAAAAATAAAAAATGAAAAACTTAATAGGTATCACCTGAAAAATCAAATACTCAGTAGATACATTGCCTTGTCATATATGTCTTGTTTTTGTCACACAAAATTCTTGTCATATATTTGCCAGAAGAAAACATTGGAAATGTTATTTACTTTAAATTACTCCTAGTACCATTGAGTTAATTATTCGAAATACCCACCCATTGTTAAATAGAAAGAATTAAAAATACAAATCTCAAATTTTAACAAAAAATTAAATTGATATCTATTGAAACATACCATTTGATCACCGCCAAGTTGTTCAACATAGGATAATGCCGCTTTAATACTGTGTCTTTCTCGCCAAAATTCCGTCAATCGACCTTCGTTTACGAAATTCGCTCTATTTCCGATATCTTCAACTGTTTCAGAAAGATTTTCTAGCTTACCATTCATCCTTTCTTCGGTTGCTTGAAGATCATTCTGTTTACTGTCAATAACAAGAAGCAAATCGTTCAATTCATCAATACGCTTCACTACACTAGCATCGACTTTCTACAAAGAAGTATTTTTGATTTTTTCTCGTAAAATTGAATTTTGTAAAACTGAATTTCAATTTTCCATTTCAGCACTACATCCAGACAACTTATCATTGTTAATAAATGAAAGATATTCCAAGTTATCACCAAATAAGTGTTAAAAATTCTCCCATACACAGCTGTAAGATGATTAGTAAAAAGTTGATAATTCTTGAAAATAATAAACCTAAAATTTTGCTTCACTTTAGTCATTCGTTTTTTTTCTTGAAAACAAATCTTCAAGATTTTGAAAGTGAAAACTTCATCAACTGAATATTGCAATAATTTCACCTGTTCCGTACGTCCCAAATAATCCATAATTTTGCATACACTTTCAGAAAGATCGTTCGTTTGTTTGACATGATACTTCTCCATTATTGCTTCAATTTCCGCGCTCATTTCTGTTTTGAAGTCCTAAAAATTATAAATATCCTGACATGATGAAATGTTACTTTAATATGAATTGTAGACGGAAATGGATCAAAAAATACCTTGAAAGCTTTCTCTTCTACATTACCTTCTTTACCAATATCTGATGGTTCTACCGGCTGAAATTATTCCTTTTAAAATAAGTGTATTCCGTATTTTATTGATATCATATGTAAATTTGACCTTGAAAATTACATAAATGAAAATTGCATACTTCACTCTCTCCTCCTTTCTTTATTTCCATAACAGCTGCAAGTTGTTCAGCCAGCTGCTCAAGATGAGGCTCTTTCTCGAGGATGACTTTAACTATCACTTCGAAACCATCCATAATATTTCGTACATTTTCCTCTCCCACCCATGCAAGATCTGGATTCTGCGCTTCCGCTTTAAACTTTTCCATGAGTGAATTTAATTTTTTCTCTAGCCGACGATCTAATTCTTCCGGTTCCATTCCACCGAATTTCACATTTTTGAGATCATCGGTGGTTGAATCAAGGCGGCGACGCAATTCCTCATTATCACAATTAGCCTTTTTAAGCATTGCTTCAAGTGCCGTAATCTTATTCTGGCTGGAACGATATAATTTGTCTGTCTCTGCGAATTCCGCCCCTGCTGTATGCATCAATTCTTCCTTTTGTTTTTCCAGTTTTTCTATTGATTTCAATTCCATATCCTAGAATGATCATAAGATGATCGTCAAATTTCCCGCAATAAAAGTGAAGCTAAGATCTAAGTTGGAATTAAAATTATATTCAAGATTTAAACCGAAGAAAACCATGATTAGATTTAATGAAAAAGGACTTTTAACTTACGAAAAAAAGTAAAATGTTACGTCTTTACCTTGTAACATCAATTATTTAAACCTTTCCTAAGATAAGTAAAGGTGCACAAAATATAACAATAAGAATTAATGGTCAAAGGTCATCATTGTTGTAATCGAGTTTTTTCAATTCTCAATAATTCATACATACCTGTATGACATTTGATAGTGCAATATTTCTTTCTTTTTGATGTTCCAATGCCATTTCCAAAGAACTAACTTTTTCCCGAGCTTTTGTTAGCTGAAATTTTAATAATAGTTACTCATGAAAAATCCTGCCTACCCTGTACGTTTGTACTTTAAACTCAGCCTGAAGAATAATGAACCAGTTACTTTTGCCAGTACAACTTCACGCTCATTCAAAGCTTCATCCATTTTTAATTGATAGGTAGACATTTGCTGCATCATCTCGGTCTGAAGAATTTTCAATTTCGATGTGAGTTCTGCCTGCAACAACAAAAAAATAAAACGAACAAACATCGAACTTTTTCATACAGAAAATGATGAATGTAATCTTTTTTTTTGAAGACTCTCCACTGTCATACTTAGAACTGAAGCCTAGTATCAAAGGAACTAGTATTAGTGAATATAACACAGATAATGTAGTCAACACTTGTCTAGAATTGCGGAAACTGTAAATGCTATGTTGAAAAACTTACACAATGAGCCTTCCATTGGTTGACTTCTTCACTGCTGTCAGCGAACTCAACAGTGCTTGCAACTTCTTGCGATTTGCCAACATCACCCTGAATAATTTCAACCGAATGTTTAAACAGTAACTTTCTGTCAAATCATTTGTCACATTAAGTGTAGCCTCCTGTCAAATCATTTGTCACAATCGAAAAGGTTGCATAACTATATCACAAGATATTACTTTAAATTTTCCCATAAATCAAAGTATAATCATAAATTATGTTTATGATCCTACTTCAGCGTGAAAACTTTCAGATGCACGTGTTTTTGTTGCAGAGCTTTTCTTCTTAAGTTTTGCTTCATATTCTTTTATCTGAAATATATCACCACATCAGAAATTGACAGTGATAAAGTCAAAGAGGAAAAATTGATATTATGATTGTAAAAAGTTGAATTGTAACCTTTGCATTAACATCTGATAACTGAGTATGCATGATATGACAATTTGCGCATTCCTTTACCGCAGGTTTCTCTTGCATTTCGGATTTCGTTTGTTCTATAGTGTGAAATTCATTTTAGCATATCATTACTATTAAAAATTATCCGGAAAAATAATCATTTCAGAATAAGTAAACCGAAAATTGGTTCAAAATTTTTTTCAATCCTTAAATATATCCGTACATCATTTCTGATTTAAAGAAAAAAAAACCGAAATCATTTTAAATTTTACTCTTTTCCACTTCGGTTTTTGGTGTGCTTTCTTGTTTCATCGATACAGTGCTTCGTGGAAATAATGGACTCAAAGTGGTAAGTGGTAGCATTTTTATGCCTGAAAAAGATATGTCTCATACCTTATCATCTTATCATCCTGATCAATTTTTAAAAACAATTTGAGTTACGAAAATAAGCAATCCGAAAACGGATCTTTCTTTTTTCCAATAGCTTAAATATATTGTGCATCATTTTTAATTTCAAATAAAAAGTAAAATTGAAATCAAGTCAATCTATTAAATTTTACTCGCTTCAGCTTCTTTTTTCGGTGTCGTTTCTTGCTTCTTCAATACAATACGTCGTGGAAATGTTGAACTTTGACCCATATTGATAAGATGAGCCTCAGCATGTGATTTTCTTGTTGCTTTTTCCTTAGATAAATTAAGTCAAAATATGCATTCATTCTTCCTTTTTTCTCTTTTCATAAATTCATAAATCCAACAAATGTTATCGTAATAAATCAAAGAAAAAAAGGATTAATTTTTAATGATAATCAGTCTTACTTCGCTTCCCTTTGACTTCATTACTGGATGCCCTTCAGCTTTGCTACTTCCACTACTAATACTATCATTCATTAAGTTACTTCGATCTGCAGAACGGTTCCCACTATCCTACAAACAAACTTCTCTTTCATCGTTTTGTTCATGCGCAAAATGAAATATCCATCTATCATTCCTACCGGAATAATGCTTTCCGGAATCAGGATAGCATTCGAGCAATGAAGCATAGAAGATGATCGTGAAACATTCTTGAATAATGATTACAATTGATCAAAACAGTTATCTAGAGTAATAATTCCGGCCAACCAATGTAATCAGGATAGTAATGTGAGAATAAGACTGGAAAAAGATATTATTCGAAGCAATTCGGGAAAGGGATAATCGGAAACTTATAAATTATGCTTTATTTATTGTTATCAAAAGATGATTGATAATACCTGAACATCGCGAATGTTCGGCATTGATCCAGATAATGTTGCCTTTATCATTTGTTCTTCGTTTTCCTCACCTCGCTGAAAATGATTTTTGCACATTTTATATGAAATTGTTAAGTTAAAATTTGACAATATTTTTTCATAAAGTTATAAGAAAGAATAAATTCACAATTTCAATTTATTTCAATCTTGAAAAAAAAAAGCAAAAAAAAAAAACATCGTCCTAAAATTAGACGACAATCAATTATCAGTCAAAGATGATAATAAAATACATACAGATAAATTTGCTGACTTATTCATCTCATCAATATCATCTAAGAATATTGTTACTGTTGGAATTCGTTCAATTTAACTAAAACATTTCATCAAATTTACGGACAAAACATGTAATTACACGCAAATATTTCATAATCAAACAAGATATTTCATGAAATTGGATAGGAAAAGAAAAAAAGAAAGTTTGTTTTTTTTTTTCTTTTGTGAAAAAATCCAAAGAATTTCACGTTTATTAATGTTAAAAATTGTCCATTTTCATTATGAAAAAAAAAAAAAAAGAAAAGAAAAAAAGTTCCACAAAAGTATTACTAAATTGTTTGAATCCGAATTAAATGCGCAATAACAATTGAACCGACCGTTTGATATCGCTAAATAATGCGTAATGAAACAATTATTTGATCAAAAGTCTTTTAATTGCCCGCTCATTGGTAGATAAATGGTCGAAGATATTGATGGATAGACTGAATGAAGTGATAATATAGTTATGACAATAATAAAAATTAACAAATTAAATGCAATTATTGTTTTAATTTAAATGAAAATAATTTCACAGGATTTTAAATTCCCTTTTTTTCTTTTTTTTTTTTAAAAAGAAAAAACAGATTAATTTGATCAGCAGTTTATTTATTTCATGATGATAATAATATATCAATGATAGGAATGATAAAATACATTCCAATGATATCAATTATGGGGAAAACGATAATTTATGGAATTAAAAAGTTGAATTAATAGGATCAATTTTAAATAATATTAGGAATTGTATAGAAGATCAGCGTTATGTATTATGTTTGGGATGGGCATAAAGCGTTGAAAAATATAAATGATTATAATCTGGATAGGAGCGAAAGCGATTGTGCAAATTGTCGCAATAGGAGAGAAATTTGGACTTTTGTTTTTTTTTTCTTTTTTTTTCCTATTTTTTTTTCTTAATATTATTTTTTAGGAATATAATTTTATTATAATTTGAACAATTTAGATGGTAAGAACGAAAGATGAAAATGAAAAAAATCATTTTTTCAACAATTAATTGCTATTTCAAATTTCTTATTATAGAAATGGTTAATTGACCATTTACATTATTCACTGGTAAGTATATTATCAATATTTTTAGCTTAAATTATTTTTTTTAAAAAAAAAATATATATTTATATAAATATATTATCGACCTTTTTAGGCTTAAATTATTTAAAAAAAAAAGTAAATATATATATATATATAAAACCGATCTTTTTAGCTTGAATTATTTTTAAAAAAACATGTATATTATTAACTTTTTTACTTTTAGCTTAAATTATTAATGAAATAATTATTAATAGAAATTGAATTAATGAAATTTTCCTTG